GACAGACACAGTCAAATGCATCAAGTTGACATATGACCTTAACTATCCAAATCACTTTATACTTGATCAAGAGGCCAGATTTAGAGTGTATATACCACGTTTTAGGGATTTTCCGGAGAGTTTTTTTGACTCGTTAGCTTGAATTTTGTTGTGAAGATGATACCTTGCTCTGATGATGTTCGTCATATGACGGACGAATGCTTAGCACCTTTTCACCGGAATCGAAGGAGATTGCTTTGGAAACAGCGTCAGCCTGAATATTTCAGGAAAGCCAATCAACAGCTGGTCAAGAGGAATCCGCTTTCGTCTTCTGGTGGAACCGACCTTCGAATCCCTTCACCCAACACTTTCACTTTGAAATTGAAATAAGCTCAACAATTATCAGTCCTTATATCACTTTGAACTACCTAGGCTTACTAAGTAAATATTCTGAGAAGAAGGCCAAATCCCATAAATAGTGGGATTAAGCAAACATTTATTTGCCATTGCAATAGACGGGGCTACTTATTTTTGATATAAATAGGTGTTGATACAATCTGTAATTCTTGATTAATAACTTAATCACCCTAGATCATTTAAGCTGATTGACTTATTGATAGTTGGGCCCTCGCACAATGGAATGGGGCATGCTTTATTGCACTATACAGAACAAACTTTTAATTACCCAAACAATAAAATCTCAGCCTTCACAGACTTCCGCAGATAGGCATACCTCAGATGAAGTTTACTGAAGTGGGGGGAGCGACAAAAATTATTGGATACATCACTTCAAGTAAAATATTAAAGATTCGTCTTTTGCCTTTTCTATTCCCTGGGCCAAAAATGTAAGCCGTGCAATACACTAAGTTTTGCTAAGATGAAAGAGTCAACCAATAATGAAAACTGTAGTCCTTGTGTAAAATTAGCATTTAAAGTTAGTCACGAATATCGCGTGACAAAGCCAACTGGTGTGGCTCGTGTTAGTATAGCTGGGTCACAGCAACACCTGGTCTTAGAAACTAGTCTTGCAAAGAAAGAGATGAAAATAACGCATCATAAGGAGTGATAATTGCTTGTTCACTCATATAGAGCACTCGTAAAATGTTTCGATCCG